GGGGGGGATACAAAAGAAAAGGAGAAACGTGCAAAAATTATGATAAGATCTTACATGCTGAAAACAGCTTTGCTTTCATCTTGTAGTGCATCATTCAAATCCCAGCTGCTATCACCACTTAACACACAACAGTTTCACATTTCAAAACCGATTTTAAAAAATAATTTAAAAACTACACACAAAAATGACTCTTTTCCTGAATTATAGAAAGTATAAATCTCCTACAAAATTCAGTACCTCAAAAGACGATATAAACTGAAATTGATTAATAAAATAATTATAGTTTTTACGTCCCTTTCTTCGAATTAACACCATTCCAGAGGCTGGACTTCACTTCATTCACACGAAATAAACATCAGTCCGTCAGCTGAGTCGGAACTATCTGTCACTGGTCACGTATGTTCTGTCTAGTTCATTGGACGATAATTTTTCTTGATCTTCAAATATGACAAAAAATCTTTGACGTCATGACCACAGTGTGTTAGGACAAACAGTCTATTCTAATGTACGGTGCTCCGTGCGCTTCTGATGGGTTTTTGTTTTTGTTTTGGCTGGTTTTGTTTTTGTTTTTGTTGTTTTTTGTTGTTTTTGTTTTGTTTTTTTTGTCCTTTTTTATTTTTGTTTTTGTATTTGTTTTCGTTATTTGTTTTACCTTTATTTCGTTATAAAACTGCTCGGAAGTAAATCTTCTCTTCAAGGAATTCCATGTGAAATAAGTATTTTGGGCCTTTTATTGAATTTTATTTTATTATTTTTCTTTTTTCTTTGAAAAGGGGGGGGGACTATAAAATTGGTTTCAGCAGGAGAAAATCAACTTCATTTATAATCTTTTGGACTGGTTTCTTTTTCTATTTTTTGTTTTGTTTTACGTGTGCTTTCTTTTTCTCGTGGCAAGCTGAGTTTGGTTTTTTCTTTCTCTCCTTTACCTTGCACCTCGTCATAAATAAACATTCACTTCACTTCTTTGTATGTTTATGTAAGTCTACTTATAGGTATTACGATGAATGTTATATAATGTGCACATTTTCCTCTCTCATGAAAGGTAAGAAACAATGTTGAGGAAGGAGGAAAAATACAATAAGGAAAGAAAGAGCCAGAAATGCACAATTAATCTGGCGTACTAAATTCCGTGCGAAAGGAGGATAGAGAAATCAAAATGAGGG